TAGCACATTGGGGCATTGGGTGGCCGACAAGACGCAACGGTCAAATTTGTCAAAGAGCGATGGACCTCATGTGATGGGACAGACAACATTAGTTCCTATGGCTGTCATGACATCCATTGAAGCAAGAGGCTTGATCCCGGAGCCGTGCAACCAACGAAAAGCTTCGGGGCAATCAGAAATGCGCTTGCCCCGGCCAGCGGCGTGTTTGAGCACCTTGGGACCTTGGGAGAGCCAGACAGCGGCAATTGCTGTTCCCCCTCTGGTTGCTGCATTCCTGCCTTTGTGGGGAGAAAGGTTTCGCAATTCCGTCCTGTTTTGGAAGATTTCTGTAGCATCATGAAACAATTGGAATGGCAAGTGTCAACAGGATGGCCAACATATCCTTGAGACCTACCTGTTCCATACCACAAAACTCCTACTCACCCACCCTGCAGAGAACATGTAGAAGGACTGGAATTCCCCTTTGCTCATGAAACCGGGAACACCTGAAGGGCCATCTTGCCCGCCGTCCGAGCTTCCAAGTCTTCCTCCAGCACAATCGCCTGCTCGAATCCTGCAATGAACCCCCTTCTCCCCCCAACCAGGCACATAAAACCGCAATCGTACGCCGCCATGCAATGACCAACGCTTCACCTTGGAGCTCCCAGTCCAAAGCCTAGCTCACAAGCGCTGTCTCTTATTTACCAGAAAGAATCTGGCAGTGCCAACACTCACCAGTATTGCCATTGGTTGATTCACTGCATATGCTCAAATGCAACTAGCGAAGAAAAGGGCCGCAGGCAGGAAGGAAGGAAGGCCTTGCAAGGAATTGTCGCACTGGAACGTGAGCAATGCCTAGTCAAAAGTATTGACTGAGGCATGGCCTTGGTTCACCGGCATGACAGGGCCTGGTTGCATGACAGGGCCTGGTTGCATGACAGGGCCTGGTTGCACCTTTCGCGAAACAACTTTGCACAAAAGTGCTTCTGCCTCTCCGACCCAATTTTCTTGCCTCTTTGCAAGTGTGGTGCGTCGTTAGCAAATGTCTCCGTTGAGAAACTTGCCTTTTGCATGGTCAACAGTTCCCGGGGCAGGGGCCCTTAAGCCGTGAATCGTTCCACCCACGTTGACAGTGGAAAGCATCTGCCATCCTTCCCCACAAAGGCTAAGCTTCTTCGATGTGTGTTTGAAGCCTGCTAAAACATGCCCAGCTTTTTGCGACCTTTCCAATGCCCCTGGAAGTCAAAGGAAGAAACGGCATTTCATGTGATTCAATAGGAAAGATCCCTTCGGAGGCAAAAAGGTTTGTGCACATATTCGGTGATTTTCCGCTGCAGCAGGGCACAGGTGTTTGTCACATGTCCAACTCTTTCCTGTCTGAGCAACACCAAAAAACATCGTTCGTTTGCTATTTGGCTGTGGAGGTTCAGCCCCTTGCAGTTCACCCCGTCCCAGCACATCGAAGAGCTGTGAGAAGGCCCAAGCGTAGTGGCTGCACAACCGCTCGTAGCCGCTGGGCAAAAACCTGGGCGCTCACTCTCACTCTCCCTTCCTCTCTCCGGAGCAGTTGGCAGCTTAAACTTGACTTGGTACACCAACACCGTTGGTATGGCTGGTGCACGGCAAATGCCAGCACTGCCGGGCTGAACAAATTTGCGTCCAGCTTTTCCCCGCGCGAAGGACACTGACTTCATTTCGGGGGTGGCACATCGTGTCCCTTCCTTGGGCTTGAGACTGTTTCTTGCCCTCGCATCCCTTTGCCTCGCAAGGTCGTGTTTTGCGTCGCTGCGTGGGGCCACATGCGCGTCCCAAACATTGGCCAGCGAATCCTCGGGGCCAAGCTTGCTTAAGAGTTCTCTGAGGCGCGGCATCGAGTGGAAGGCAAGGTGAGCCTGGCGTGACTGATTTCTGCCCTGGTTGCTTCGTGCAAGGCGCTTCTTGGGTGAAAACCGCAGGTGCCGAGCCAGCTCGCCGCTGGTCAAATACTTCTGCAGCAGGGACCTGACGCTGGCATCGTCGCCATCCTGCAAGAGCTTGGGCGAAGGGATGGTTGGAAGGGGCAAGTGGGGAGTGCCGGCAAGTCCTGATGCGTCATTCATGCGGAAGCTGTCCAAAACAAAAGCACCCCACCTCGAAGGAGACACCACATGAATCAACAATGTTAGAATGTCAGAAACCAGGGCCGACCAATACAAAAGCGAAAGGAAGGGGGTCCGCAATGTCAAACTTCAATTTGCCATTGATTTTGATGGCCAATGCAAAGGAGTTGACCGCAGTCTGCAGAATGGATTGGGGAAGATCAATCAGCCTAGACAAGCTGAATGACGGCTTTTTTGAGCAGTACCAATCTTAACAGGGGCTGGCCGGCCGGCATGTGGCCAAGGGGAAGGCTACAACAAGAACCATCGTTTCCAGCAAGCCCCAATTTGGCTGTCCGACAGCCGCGCTGCCAGGAACGCGTGAACATTGCCCCCCCCCCTTCCAGAAAAAAAGCAAGAAAGAAAGAAAGAAAGAAAGAAAGAAAGAAAGAAAGAAAGAAAGAAAGAAAGAAAGAAAGAAAGAGTACTCCCACTCCCGTTACCCTCCCCCCCCCCCCGTCATTTTACATATGTCTAAACAGCGGGACAGCAGGATGGGAAAGCTTCTTTCGTTCTGCCCGTGGGGCCTTCAGGGTTGCCCAGCTGCAGGCTGAACCTATGGCACTGGGGGTGGCATCTTGGCATCCCTGACGGCAGCACACACACAGACGCACACAAAGACACGCGCAGAGACACACGCAGAGACACAAAGACACACAGACACACAGACACACAGACACACAGACACACAGACACACAGACACACAGACACACAGACACACAGACACACAGACACACAGACACACAGACACACAGACACACAGACACACAGACACACAGACACACAGACACACAGACACACAGACACACAGACACACAGACACACAGACACACAGACACACAGACACACAGACACACAGACACACAGACACACAGACACACAGACACACAGACACACAGACACACAGACACACAGACACACAGACACACAGACACACAGACAACAGACACACAGACACACAGACACACAGACACACAGACACACAGACACACAGACACACAGACACAGACACAGACACACAGACACACAGACACACAGACACACAGACACACAGACACACAGACACACAGACACACAGACACACAGACACACAGACACACAGACACACAGACACACAGACACACAGACACACAGACACACAGACACACAGACACACAGACACACAGACACACAGACACACAGACACACAGACACACAGACACACAGACACACAGACACACAGACACAGAGACACAGAGACACAGAGACACAGAGACACAGAGACAGAGACACAGAGACACAGAGACACAGAGACACAGAGACACAGAGACACAGAGACACAGAGACACAGAGACACAGAGACACAGAGACACAGAGACACAGAGACACAGAGACACAGAGACACAGAGACACAGAGACACAGAGACACAGAGACACAGAGACACAGAGACACAGAGACACAGAGACACAGAGACACAGAGACACAGAGACACAGAGACACAGAGACACAGAGACACAGAGACACAGAGACACAGAGACACAGACACACAGACACAGACACAGACACACAGACAGACACAGACAGACACAGACACACAGACACACAGACACACAGACACACAGACACACAGACACACAGACACACAGACACAGACACACAGACACACAGACACACAGACACACAGACACACAGACACACACAGACACACAGACACACAGACACACAGACACACAGACACACAGACACACAGACACACAGACACACAGACACACAGACACACAGACACACAGACACACAGACACACAGACACACCACACACACAGACACACGCACACACGACACCCACGCACACACGCACCCCCACGCACCCACGCACCCTCGCACACCACGCACGCCCACGCACCCACGCACCCACGCACCACGCACCCACGCAACAACACACGCACCCACGCACCCACGCACCCACGCACCCACAGCACCCACGCACCCACGCACCCACGCACGCAGACGCACGCACGCACGCACGCACACGTCCGCACACGCCCGCCGCGCACGCGCGCACGCGCGCCTGCGCCACGCACACTACGCGCGCACGCCGCACGCGCGCAGCGGCACGCGCACGCGCACGCGCACGCGCACGCGCACGCGCACGCGCCCGCACACGCGCACGCACACGCGCACGCACACGCGCACGCACACGCACACGCACACGCACACGCACACGCACACGCAAACGCACACGCACACGCACACGCACACGCACACGCACACGCACACGCACACGCACACGCACACGCACACACACACGCCCACCCACACACACACACACACCCACACACGCACGCACGCACGCCCGCACGCCCGCACGCCCGCACGCCCGCACGCACGCACCCCTCCTGTGAGGCGATGATGGGATACTGCTCCTGGCTGGGGCGGTATCTGAACAAGGACGCAAGGGCGCGCTGCAGGTATGCCGCCCGCTTGTGGGTGATCATCAGCACCTAGGCCCATCTACATGTCACGGCGGTCAGCTTAAACCAATATCTGCCCAATGGACAAGAGGTCCATGTGGACGGAATGAGCTGAAAACCCAAAGGCGTGCCTCATGAAGCGCATGGGCCAGCATTGCCAGCATTGCAACTGCTCTCAACTTTTGATCACCCTGGAACGATTGGGCTTTAAACATCTGTGCAGCCAGGAGTACTTACAGGCTTCAGCAGAACACCAACGTGTGTCCCCTGAAGCAACAACTGCAAGGCAACCACACCGCCTTGCATCGTTTTCTTTCGCCTGCCCCACGCCTTCCACTGCCACCTGGGACCTCATGCGTGCGGATGCACGTAAGCAATATGGGCATTGTTCCTTTGCAGTCTAATGCCGCGGCGGATCTCTTGACATTTGCACGGCAGATCCACGGCCAAGGGGCTGGGATCGCTTCTGGGGAAGGCGTTGAATTCAGTACGCGCTCGGCACCTGTCATGTTCCACCAGGGCACGCTATCCCCCGAAGAAATTTTGACCGCCATCTGCAAGTTGTTCGATTCAAGTGACATGGGCTTGGGATGGTTTTATTGTCTGTCCATCCTTTGGGAAAAGGATGGTTATTAAATATAAGAGCATGAGCGACGTGCATCCAATGAATTCCCGCACCCTTCAAAAGCGCGAGCAATCGGCTAATGATGTGCAGAAAAACTATCGGGTTTGCAACAAGAGGTGTCATTTGCTCGTTCAGACAGGGACCCTCCCCATCGGCACAACTACTGCGGCTGCAATGCCATTTCAGACAAACCATCCCGTGCGGGCCCTGCGATCAAAATACCCAAGACGATTAGTTTCGAAACTTGGCAGCTTATCGGCCTGCCCTAAAACTAGAAGTCCAATGCCCTGCTGGCCTCTCTGCTCGCCCGCAGCTGGCTCTTTTGCAGCTGCGCCAGCTGGCTCTTTCGCTGCTGTGGCAGGCAGCGCTGTCGTGACTAACAGATCGACGAGGCCTGGCAAACTTGCCCCTCTCGGAAAAGGCCCACAATTGAACTCTCAGGTTTGCGGGATGTGCCATGAGGGGCCACAATATGAGCTTAAACCTAAACCAACCAAGCTTAAAACCACCCAAGACCAACCACGCCTGCCACACTCGCCTTTGGTACCTCCACCAGCGGCAGCTTTGGCGCGCTTGGTGCGGGTGATTCCCCGCTCGGCACGCTTGGCGGCATGCTTGGCGGCACGCTTGGCGGCACGCTTGGCGCTCCTGGAGCCACGCTTGGAGCTGGCTGGCCAAGCAAGGCCGGAGGCAAAGTGGGTGGAGAGCAGGACCCATACATCCAGCGGTCATCGTCCTCAAGCGCTTCAGCTCCAGACAGCTGTGGAGTGATGCGACATAACCGTTGGCGTGCCAAATGTGGCGCGTGAGTCTGAGCATGTAACATGCTAACGCACGAATCTGCATGTGGGGTCATGCCATGTTAACATGCTGACTCTGAGGCTTAGTCAACCCTCAATTGAAGCTGCTTCATCCCCTTCTGCCAATACACATCTGACTGTCCTCGCTGGCGACGTAAGTGCAATGCGGAGATCTGCCAGTCCGGCAAAATCCATCGTCTTTCCTGAGAAAGGGGTTGCGTGCATCTACCCAAACAAAATCTTGCCTTTGCAGGCCGAACGACAGCTGTCCTGTTGCAGCTGAAACCCGGCTGGTGGCTTAGAAGCGCATGGGACAGTCAAAACCGACAGGGTAGCAAAGCGAACTGTGCCATTCGACGTCCCAGGCCAAAGGAGTTGTTTATTACAACGCCAAAACAGCAAAAGCCCTTCATGGGTTGGCGTCTCTGCAAGCGCTGGCAAGACTCCAGCTCCAGCAATTGCAAAAACGCTGCTGCTGGCAGTCCCTCATGCATTCAGCCGGCGAGCTGACTCCAAAGTGCTCAGGCCCGACAATATCACCTTGGCTGAGCAGGCCAAACAAGCAACACCATAACCTCTGTTGCAGGACCCCGGGGCCTGCACATACAAAAAGCCCGTGCCCATCCAGCCACGTTGCGGTTTGCATAGCCTCAGCAAAGGACAGCGCACATATACTGCCATTGGCGTTCAACGGAAAATCGCATGGCTGCTCAGATTCGTGCGTGGTGGTTGTGCACGTGAGCAATGTCCCTCAAATGACGGGCCTTCTCGCTTGGGGATTGGGAGGTGTGAAGGGCAATATAGCACCGCATCAAACAATGAGGCAACATTGTAATACCCATATGTTCCCACAATAGTATTCCGCCTCATTCCAATACAGTATTCCGACTCGCTCTCCCTCGAAACTTCCGCTGTGCAGGGGTTGCTCGCAACGTGAATGGGGCCCGGCTCGGGGGCGAGGCTCACACAGGTTGAAGGGAAGGGCGCCGAAAAGTTTCACCAAAATCGATGTTGGCACAGTTTGGGCGTCAAACTTCGGGGAATAGCCCAAAACAAGGCTCGGTATAGGGCTCCCTCCTTCCAGGTTCACACTTGTTGCAGGAAAGGGCGCCAACTTCACACCGCTCTAGGAAAAGCGAAGACACAAACTGGTTTCGGAGAGGTGTTTGTTCCCCCCCCAAACAAGAAGAAGAAAAGTCGCACTGGTTGAAAGGAAAAGTGCTCAAATCATATCTCACTATCATTGACTATCGGAAACCTTCGCTCATTCAACCTTCTGCGGAGCTTCGGCGACCAGTGCAACGCCAAAGGTCAAAATGCCGAATTCTAAATCTAACTTCCATGCCTTCAAATACCTGGGCTGCGCGGGGCCCAATCCAAAGGCATATAAAACGCGACTAGTACTACAACCGCCAAGTATCCTAGACACACACCTTTGCCTTTGTGCCCAAGAACACACACCTTTGAACACCCACACACACGCACACACCTTCACAAATATCAAGCAACATATTGGAATCACATTTGGAGTTCCATCCAGCCACGTTGCAGCTGATACATCGGAAGCACACATGTTGATGAGGTCATTGAAAGCGACATGCGATAAAGATGACATGCGAGGTTCAACGTGTCTCGAAGCAAGCTCTGTCTCATCCGGGCAGCCACGTTCCAGCGTACAGCCCGGCAGGCTGGCAGGCAAGATGGGCGCGACGAGCACTTCGTGCCTGGCGATCTGCACTGGTTGCCTGGCCGCAGTTGTCCACGCTGCCAGATGTCCGGCCATACTACGCCGTACTATGCGACTGCCTTTTGTTGGGGGAACCATGGGGCTTTTGGTTGGTCCCGGGGAACCAACAGAAGTTCAGCCACTGCTGGGGCACTCTAATCTTGAGAGACCTCGTGTAATTTGTTTCTCCCGTTGCTGAATTTATCACAACCACAGATTGCGCCCAAGCAGTTAGCACCCCTTGCGCGCGAATCCTACTTCGAGTGTTATTTCGGCTGTGCAAAACCTGAGCGCTTTTCAACATGCAGATCAATTCAAGTGACCCACGTGTCACCAACAGCACGGGGGCAAGTGAGCGTTCCTCTCACACGTGCGCGGCATGCGGCCTTTGCTCCGTCCTTGAAGCCCAACTCCAGAGCCTCAGCAAGAGCAAGCAGGACTGGTGGTCCAGTGAGTTTGTCCACATGTCATGTTGAACATCCTCCTTTTGGCTGTGGCTCAAAATTCAACCGGAAGATACCGGAAGGGTTACGCGGGTTTTGGTCCATGTTTCCACTTGCCCAGGTTCCATTTTGGTACCGGTTTTTGGAGCCACAGCCTTTTGGCCCCCTACGTGCCAAAGGGGAACAAACGCAGACTTGCATTAACAATCACGACTTGTCGAGTAGCTCACTGCCTGGCTGTAACGAACACTAGACTTCTGGGCCTCACTGCCACCAAAGCCTCGGATAGGCAAAACCAGAATACGTGCAACCTTGGCAAACCTGCGGCCCGAAAGAAAGCAATTAGCTACAGGCTCTCACGTTCAAAGGCATCCAGCGGCTTTTCTGTCCTGCATCAGGCTTTCAAAGTCACAAAAGGGCAGCAGCAAACTCCGTGAAGGATGCAACTGCTAGTTGTGGTGGCCTCTACGAACATGACAAGCAAGTTTCGATGGCGGCACTCAGCGCCCTCCGGTATGACATCTATGGTTTTCTCAAAGGGGGCCGTAAAGCCAGATGCTTCTGGGGCCTTCACTCTGGCCTCACAATCTGGCGATTGCGAAAAAGGCTGCTTGTTTCCGGTGTTATATGGCTTTTGCTGCAAATAACTGATCTATTTCAGTCGTTCGTTTCGATGCCTGCAGCAGGAAACAGAGCGCAGCTTTTGCTCTGCTGAGATATGTCGGGCTCTACAGCTGTGCTTGCGACCGATGTGTGTAAGATGCGTCTTCTTTCCTGTTTTTGAAAAAACAAACGGACAACCGAAAGATCTTCAAGGAACATGAGGTCAATGCCACGTGGCAACCCAGACCAGGTGTCTTGCATTGTTTTCCTGCACGTGTGCGTGTGCGCCACAACTAGGCACCTTGATGTCCACGTATATATGGCCTTTACTGGCTGTAAACATATTTAATACATTTTGAACCATGGCCGAACGTGGTGCCAACAAGCCAAACCCTGCTGGACTACCATCAAAAAGTATCTAGCCCCGTCTTGCCTCAGCAACCTGGTTAGGCCCATAGTTGTCAGTCGGACATACTACCTTCAGGACAGCAGCGGCGTATCTGGATGCGACCCACTGCGCACCACTCCGGTGATGCTGGTGGCGTTTGGCTCTTGATGTTGTCTTTGTAATTTCTCAGCCTCCGGGACCATCATAGGCATCATAGGCTGAATCATAGGTTGGCCCTTGGATTGAACGATCCTATGAACGTATGTGCACCTTTCCGACAGGTCAAGTTCAACATGTAATGAACCCAACTGAATGTCTCAAACAATACAATTGTTCATGGCCTTGTTGCGAGCTTCTCCTTTGCATACTGTTTGTAACCCTGGCACAGCTGTGCGTGCGCAAGAAGTGAGGGGCGGATGGCGTAGCAAACATGGCTTTGGATCAGCATCGGAGAGCCCTGGGTAGCTAGTGGTTTCAACGCCTGCTGGCCGAGATGCATGAACGCCCCGGCCGCACCAGCAGTGACAGCGCTCGCAACGAGCAACTGCATGCGCCCAACTGGAGGCAAGCGTGCAGGCAGTGATTTCTTCTTGTCAGCGCCCGTGTCCTGCAAAGCCCCTGCCCTCCCCTCCCTTACTCTTGCCTTCCCCTCCCCTTCTTCCTTCCACCTCCCTCCCTTCTTTCCCCTACCTCCCCTACCCTCACAAGTTTGGCCAAGCATGGCTCCTCATCGGCAACGGAATCCTTCTTTTTCGACAATTTTGTCGAAATCTTCTCCGGCTTCTTCTTGCCATGTGGCCGCGCAGGCATGGCTGCATGGATGCTAATGTGTGCGTCCTCGTCACAAAACAACGTGTGGGTGTTTGCGCCTTTGACTTCTTCACTTCATCGAAGCATGTATTTCTATGTTTTGTCGGAGGACCACTGCCATCAAACATTCGGACGCACCTGCAAAATTTCAAGCTTTGTGGCACGCCATCCTTCCTTTTATTCATCGCGGGAGGGCTGTGAGTTACTTCCTGTGCTCAAAAAACAGCAGCTGCGATTGAGAGTGGGGTCGCGTGCAAGATCTGGGGTTTTGAGTGCAACTGGGTAAGAAGTCACAGTCAGTTAAATGCAAAAACAGATGTGGCTTAAACTTTTTTCTAGGGCGCTAACAGGCGCCTTGCAGCATGCCCTGAGGGCCTGCGGCAGGAGGGCATGACAGGTGCGAGGCGCCGGGCCTCGGGCTCACACCCAAAACGCTGAAGGGGCGAGGGACACAGCACAGCGCAAGCCGAGGCCACCAACTGCGCCAAGCTCGTGCGCGGTGTCAAGCAAAGGCGGTGCACCAAGGAGATCGGGCGGGCAAACACAGCCTCATGCGAGGCCCAAAAAAAAAAGTCAGGCAAGGGGGCCAGTATGCGAAGGACGTGGCATCGGGGCGAGACACAAAACTAGAGGAGAAGCCAAGCACACTGAAGATCGGGGATGGTGCGGATGGCTTGCAACAAGCCGTCCTGCTTGCCGCAGAGCTGAAGCAACTGAGCCGCGACAAACTCCGGGTTGCCCTGAAAACGGCGAGGCTGCTTGCAGGGACAAGACATGACAAGTCGCCAAGCCACGCCGGTTCCCCACCTGCACATCGGGTGTCGAAAACAGGGCGAACTTGGTCAGGTATCGGCGTGGATGTCGTCCATGAAAAGCCAGGAGCCGCTCCCCTGGCGGCAGCTGACGCTGCGTGGCAACGAGCGCACCGTGTTGCGCAAGGGCAAAAACTGGCATTGAGCGCTATCAAGATTGGGCCTTTTGCTTGACCAGCGACAATCGCATGATCAAATTTGTTTTCGCCCCAACTTGGGAGTCAAATATGCCTTTCTGTTTGCGGAAAAGCTGTGGCGTGGGGATTTGACATGTGGTTTGCAAGCCTGGACTTGAAGAAACTTTTTGACCGCATCGAATACGATTCGTTGCTTTGCGCCTTATTGCATCAAGGAGTACCAGAAGAATACATAGCCTTGCTGAAACAGTTGCATGCGCAGCAAAAAGGGTCCCTATAAATGGCTGCCATACAACGGGGTGAGCAACTGCGAGTGCTCCCGCCCGCCGAAACCAAAGCGCACGCAGAGTCGCACGACCTGGCCGTCACGCGTTGCCGCCAGCACCTGCTTGGTGACCCGATGTGACCCGGACTTTGCTTGCGACCCGTGCCAGCTCGAAGCCAGGCGTGCGCAGCTCCCGCTGCGGTTTGGGGGGGTTGGTGCCGCATCTCGCTTCGCAGCGTATGGGGCGTCCTGGGCCGACTCCATGCCAAGTATCAGCGCGTTGCATCCGCACCCTGGCGCGGATGCTCGCAGGGCTGGCCGACCCATCAGGGCCCCAAGCCACGCCATTGATGCGAGCGCCGTGCCCGAGACCTCCACCCCCCGCGAAAGACTCGTAGGCACCGTAGTTGGCAAACCGCTGAGCAGACGCAAAAAGGTGCGGGGGGGGGGGGGGGGGGGGGGGACAAAAACAAACGCACCAGCCGACAATCGGATTCGCGTAATTTAGGCGAAATTTCAAAAGCACAAATCCACGCTGCTAAGCAAACATGCGTCGATCAAATTGCGCCTGCGTTTCTTCAATGCAATTGTAACTCCTGCCTAAATTTTCCGTGTGCACACGGTGCCGCCGTCAAAGGCCCAACTTTCCAAACTGGATGGCTTGCAGAGACGGATGCTTCGGTCTATTGTTGGCGGGGTTCGGCTCCAATATGAGGAATGGAGCGAAACGATGCGGCGAATGAAAGCTCGAATTTCGTCCGTTTTGATTCTGCGAGACGACAGTTTCACTTCGCAGGAAGACTCGACAACCAACAGCAATTTGGGCAGCTCATGCAGTTTCTTGGAATCCTACCAGCCGCTGGCAAGTAAATGTTATTCAATATCCACACCGCAGAGTCGGTTGTCTTAGACTCCGACTCGAACGGGCGCAAAGCGAAGCTTGTAAACCTTTTGCTTGGAAGATCATGCGCACCCAGGGCACACGAAGCGCAATCGGTGCAGCACGGCCTGGCGGCGCTCACGGTGTCAAAAACCCTAATGCCATCGACTGACAGCACAGTGGCATCGGGATCCAACTCGGCTGCGATAAACAGCGCATGGGCCACTGCGTCAGCGCACGCGTGGACAAACCAAAATGAAAAGGTGCACAAGCTTCCTGGAGGGTACACGCAAAGTCTTGCAAAGGGCTGTGCCACCAAACGCTGCAGAAAGTGACCAACAACAATTCCACAAACCTGACCGTTGGGCTTCTGAAACGCAACCATGCGGCCAAGGCCCAAAAGCTGCTGCAACGGAGTGCGACGGCCAGGGTTACTTGGGTTTGCACCGGGGCCTGGGCGGCTTGGCTCACAAATATCCATACCTGGAACCTCCATCCGGCCAAAATTTCGGCCGCTTTGTGTTCGGCAAGAATTTCAGCCGCAAGTAGAAAAGATCGCCGGCAGCTTTGAAAAACACGGCAGCAATGCTCTTTAAGGCCGCGTATGAAAAACGCCGGAAAAGCAAACACGCCGCGCGTTTTTTAGGAGATCCCAATTTCCGCCGGCGTACGCGTCTGCCAAGGTAGGTGTGAAGCGCATCACTAAACAGCATTTCAACCCTAGCATCTGCTATGTCAATGTTTTGCGGTTGGTCTTGGGCAGCTTTGGTAAATAAATTTGTTTTGCAAGCATGAAACATGTAGCCGAATACGCGCGAGCTCCTCAACCAAGGCCTCCAGTATGATACGTGTTGCGGGCAAATATATTTTTTCCGTCTCCGCACGTCGACGAGGACGGCTGTGGCTGTATGCAGTGCCGGGGGCGGGCGGTTGCGGCAAAGATTGTGCATAGAGTATCAAATCACGAATGTTTGCAAGGCGTTCTGCAGCTCCCAAGTCTAACCCTTGTGAACACATTCGCCTTTTCCACGTGGCAACGGCCTCTTCAAGGCCGGATTGAATAATAGAGGGCTCGTAACGTCACCTTGTTTGACACCCCTGTTTTTTTTGCACACGCATTTCTCCCTGCCGCTGCCGCTGGAGGCTCGGGCATGCCGCTGCGGGGGTGCCCCTGGCCTGCCTTCGGACCGCTTGCCCCACCGCGGGCGTGCTCGTCCAACACGCGGGCCTCCTCGAGCGCGCCGTTGCCCGGGTTTGTCGCGAGGCTGGCGCACGGGAGGCTGGAGGTGGTCGCGAATGGGCTTGGCATGCAGGTAGCCGTCGACGCAACCGCAGTACTGCTTTTGCGTGGGCCCAGGACAGGCACAGTTAGGGAGTGGTGTTGGCCGGCACAAAAGGACGGGCTGGGGAACCAAGAGCCGTCACCGCAAACGACTCGGCAGCACGGCCAGTCGGACCGGCCCTTGCCGGCGCGCCGGAGGTTGGCAAGCAGCAAACCGGGTGGCAGGCGGGACACTCAGGCTGAAACTGGAGATGTCTTTTGCCCGTTGCGACGAGAAACGGCGGCAAAGGCGCCGTAGAAAAACATGCTATTCATATTGTTTCAGCATGACGAATTTACGTTGGTCAGTCAATGCCATCCCTTTTGAAGCATCAGAATCAGCGCAGCGAGTGCCGAAAGCGGTGGCGCGGCAGCCAGCTACAGCGCAAGTAAGTGCGGAATGGGGAATTGGGTCCGAGTCAGCTGCACTGCCCCTACTTTCGCTGCCGGCTCACACGGAGCCTGAGGCTCACCGAGTCTTGTGCCAACAATTTTCCTCTCAGAGTTTTGCGCTTCAAGTTTTGCGACACAGACTTTGTCAAGAGATTTCCCGGCTGACACTTTGAAGGTGAGGCCTTGCAGCTCCAATTTCGCAACTCGCAGATTGCGATGCTGACATTTTGGTTAGGCGCGGACTTTGCGGCAGGCTGCAGGCTGCCCCGTGCAGGCTGAGGGCTTTCTGGGCGAAACTCCGCAAAATAGAATGCCCGCAGTTTCAATAATAAAAAGAGTTTGGCAGGCAGATTGCTCGCGCGGTGGCTGTCGCGGGCAGCTTCAGTGAAGAAAAGTACGGAATAATAATAACTCCTGGGAAAATTTGCAGAAACTCGAGGCTTCCCAGTGCAGATGTTGGAAGCTGAGATTGTTTTTTACTATTGCTTAGGGATTTCTAAAAGCAAATTTTGCAGCAAGTACTTGTTCCGCAGGCTGCCCCACGCAGGCTGGCCCCCCTACAGGCTGCAGCCATCAGGCTGGCCCGCCTACAACCAAGCTTGCCGAGTCTTGCGCCTACATTTTGTCTCTTAAAGTTTTGTGCCTCAAGTTTTTTTGTTTTTTTCCCCCCTCGCGTCTGCAGCGCTGTGGGCGTAGGGTGAAAAGCGCGCAACCGCCCGAGAAGGCGACACGCCGAGGCGCTCAGCTACGAAAAGGGAGAAGGCCAGGCCCGGAAGGGCCGGCCACGGCGGACGTCGGCCAGGTCGGGCTCGCCCGCAGCCGCCGGCCGCGCCGGGCCACCTAATGAAGAGCGCGCTGGAGCGCGACGCTGAGCAGCGCTTACCAGCACCGACGCCAGCCCGCAGCAGCAGGTCGGCGCACAGCCGGGGCGCGCGGAGGGTCCGAAACCGCACCAGCCGATTCACAAGGCTATGCGCCTCGTCGCGCCGCCTCCCGCCGGTCTCGCAGGCGAGGACGACCAACCGCTGAGGGCCAAAACGCCGCATCTTGAAGGTACCTGGCCTCTTTGCGCCTACGCGCGGTGGCGATCGGCGCAACGAGGGTGCTGCACAAAGATCCCCATGCGCGTGGCGCCATGCAGTCGAGGCGACGTCGATCGCCCTCAGAAACACCCGGCGCGGAGATGTTCGCAAGCCATTGCTGCGGGACAACACGGCCCTCAGGCCCC